AGTAATGGAGGAACAGCAGAGAGAGGAGCACAGCTGACACCCGCCTCTCACCTGCTCCCTACTTCAACTGTAGTATTGTGCTCCTCCTCCTTTATCTCCACTCCTCCTGCTCTCCTCTATCTGCGCTCCTCCTCTTCCTCCTCCAGGTATGATAACCGCTGTCGCCGTCTGCAGCCGCAGCAGGTGGAGCAGAAGCTGGCTGCGGGAGTGCCGGCTGTGGTGCGCTTTAAGCTGCACATGGGCACCGAGGAGTTCCAGGATCTGGTGTTCGGCTGGACGGGTCACGCGGTGGGGGCGGTGGAAGGTGACCCGGTCATCCTGAAGGGGGACGGTTACCCCACATACCACCTGGCCAGCGTGGTGGACGACCACCACATGCGCATCAGCCACGTGCTGCGCGGCTGCGAGTGGCTGATCTCCAGCGCGAAACACCTGCAGCTGTACCGGGCGCTGCGCTGGACTCCGCCCACATACGCACACCTGCCCCTGCTGCTGAACCGCGACGGCAGCAAACTGTCCAAACGCCAGGGAGACATCTTCCTGCAGAGCTTCCGAGACCGCGGCGTCCTGCCCGAAACCCTGCTGGACCTGGTGACACACGCCGGCTCCGGCTTCAGCGGTCAGTACACAGCAGATAATGAGGATGATGAATATTAATGAGCAGATAATGAGGATGACGAATGTTAATGAGCAATAAATGAGGATGACGAATGTTAATAAGCAGATAATGAGGATGACGAATATTAATGAGCAGGTAATGAGGATGACGAATGTTAATAAGCAGATAATGAGGATGATGAATATTAATGAGCAATAAATGAGGATGATGAATATTAATGAGCAGATAATGAGGATGACGAATATTAATGAGCAGATAATGAGGATGACGAATGTTAATAAGCAGATAATAAGGATGATGAATATTAATGAGCAGATAATGAGGATGACGAATGTTAATAAGCAGATAATGAGGATGACGAATATTAATGAGCAGATAATGAGGATGACGAATGTTAATAAGCAGATAATAAGGATGACGAATATTAATGAGCAATAAATGAGGATGATGAATATTAATGAGCAGATAATGAGGATGATGAATATTAATGAGCAGATAATGAGGATGACGAATGTTAATAAGCAGATAATGAGGTTGACGAATATTAATGAGCAGATAATGAGGATGACGACTGTTAATGAGCAATAAATGAGGATGACGAATGTTAATAAGCAGATAATGAGGATGATGAATATTAATGAGCAATAAATGAGGATGAAGAATATTAATGAGCAGATAATGAGGATGACGAATATTAATGAGCAGATAATGAGGATGACGAATGTTAATAAGCAGATAATGAGGATGATGAATATTAATGAGCAATAAATGAAGATGACGAATATTAATGAGCAGATAATGAGGATGACGAATATTAATGAGCAGATAATGAGGATGACGAATGTTAATAAGATAATGAGGTTGACGAATATTAATGAGCAGATAATGAGGATGACGACTGTTAATGAGCAGATAATGAGGATGATGAATATTAATGAGCAGATAATGATGACGAATGTTAATGAGCAGATAATGAGGATGACAAATTATTAAGCAGATAATAAGGATGGCGAATATTAATGAGCAGATAATGAGGATGATGAATATTAATGAGCAGAAAATGAGGATGAAGAACATTAATGAGCAGATAATGAGGATGGTGAATGTTAATGAGCAGATAATGAGGATGACGAATGTTAAGGAGCAGATAATGAGGATGGTGAATATTAATGAGCAGATAATGAGGATGACGAATGTTAAGGAGCAGATAATGAGGATGGTGAATATTATTAAGCAGATAATGAGGATGACGAATATTAATGAGCAGATAATGAGGATGATGAATATTAATGAGCAATAAATGAGGATGACGAATGTTAATGAGCAGATAATGAGGATGGTGAATATTAATGAGCAGATAATGAGGATGACGAATATTAATGAGCAGATAATGAGGATGACGAATATTAATGAGCAGATAATGAGGATGACGAATGTTAATGAGCAGATAATGAGGATGGTGAATATTAATGAGCAGATAATGAGGATGACGAATGTTAAGGAGCAGATAATGAGGATGGTGAATATTATTAAGCAGTAATGAGGATGATGTATGTTAATGAGCAGATAATGAGGATGGTGAATAGTAATGAGGACGATCCTCCACTGCTTCAGGTAATGAGCTGTTGGTGTTTGCAGATAACCGTATGGGTCGGCGTCTGGACGAACTCATTCGTGACTTTAACATTTCCAAGATCACGACACACTCCGCCCTGCTGGATCTGGACAAATTAGAGGAGTTCAGCAGGTCATTAGTGCTTAATTACCTCGTAAACATGCAGATCAGCTCCCAGCCACTGGCCTTCAGTCTTCCCATGATGCACTGCGGCGAGGAGACTGAAAAACACTGCAGAAGAGCAAACTGTTAATGTGTGTGTGTGTGTGTGTGTGTGTGTCAGGCTGCATCTCCAGCGCAGGATCGAGGACCCTCAGCAGTGTGTATGGCTGTGTGAGGAGCTGAAGCAGATGGTGAAACACACACACAGCTCTGAGATCAGCGCCGCTGCGGTTCTGGAGCCGGAGTATATCGAGCGAGTGCTGCAGCTGCGCAAGGTACCTAACACACACACACACACAACCAACACACACCTGTAACAGGTAATGAGTAGCTGATCTAACTGCAGACTGTAACAGAGAGCCTCAGTCAGATTAGGGTTCATAGCTGTAGTGCACACTACTGAGGGGGACACTCATCAGCACTGGGAGAACATCAGTGGAGAACTACAGTCCTATAGCAGCAAACCTGTGTGTGTGTGTGTGTGTGTGTGTGTGTGTGTGTGTGTGTGTGTTGAGCGGGGACAGTGTGTCTGAGCATCATCAGGAAGGCTATTCGGCTATTCCAGGGTTTAGGAGCCATAAATGAGAAGGCTCGACCTCCTTTAGTGGACTCTGCTAATCTGGGTACTACAGAAGCCCTGAGTGTGGAGCTCTTGCAGAGCGGGTTGTGTTGTAGCGAGACAGAAGCTGGGTCAGTTGAACAGGAGCTGGGTTATTTACAGCGTTATCGGTTAGCAGCACTATTTGATGATCATTACTGGACTGAACAGCAGCAGAACACTGGGGGATGCAGACATATCTGCTGGAGCTGCTGCTGCACTGACTGAAGCTTATTAATAGAGGATGCTGGACCAGCAGAGCACTACAGTCATCTCATCCAGACGTCATACACACATCAGCTCGCTCTGCTGCGTCTGACATGGAGAGCGCACTGTAGCTCAGCCATGTTTCTCACATGAAGGAAGGCGGCGTCTGTAGCATGCCAGATCTGATGTTCAGCTGCTGTCTGAAATAGCACCCAGATCTTCTACAGTAGCGCTAATGCTCACTCTGTGTGTGTGTGTGTGTGTCAGGGCCACATCTCGTCTCTGCAGGATCTGCTGAGCTCCACACACTCGTATCTGTGGGTTCGTCCTCGAGTGTCGCAGACGCAGCTGCAGAGTGAGAGCGCACACGCCAAAGACATCGCCACCGCCGTCATGCAGTGAGTCTCTCTCACACACACTCACACACACTCTTCATCTGTGTTCACCGCTGACGCGTGTGTGTCTAGGATGGTGTTGGCCGGCGGCTCACTGGTGTCGATGGAGCGTCTGAACAGTGAACTGAAGCAGATCTCCAGCAGAACCAACAGCACACACAGCAGCGTGATGAAGGTGCTGAGACTACTGCTGAGCGCACAACAGGTGAACACACACACACACACACACACACACACGCACACACACACACAGCAGCGTGATGAAGGTGCTGAGACTACTGCTGAGCGCTCAACAGGTGAACACACACACACTCACAGTAATTGCTTTACACTGAATCTGTTTTGTCTCTTCTGTGTGTTTGTGTGTGTGTGTGTGTGTGTGTCTCCAGCGGGGGCCCAGTGTGGCGGAGATGATGCTGTCTCTGGGTGAACAGGAAGTGTGTGTTCGTCTTCAGAAAGCTCTGGAACTCTGAGGCGCTGTGTGTCAATAAAGTGTTGTAAATATTTATCTGGTCTGTGTTTGGATCTGTGTGTGTGTGTGTGTGTGTGTGAATAATAATTCTCTTAATCTGAGCAGAGCACACACACTCCTCGAGCTCACAGTGGTGTAGAACACTGGTTGATAATGTGCTCACAGGCAAAAACCGTGCACACACACACACACACACACACACACACACACACACACACACACGCGCGCACACACACACACACACTGCTGAGTTCTGGGTTGTTCTGTGGTCTGCTGGGCTCTGATTGGCTGAAGCACATACAGGGGTGGTTCCTGTCAGAATTGTGCGTCCCCAAACGTCTGCAGTAACTATAGCAACCGCTGAGTGACAGGTGAGTGCTCGTTAGTCTGCAGGTGTGTTGAGTGATGACGTCACCTGTTGTGCAGGTGTAGGCTGAGGCTCAGTGCGTGTTCTCCTGTAACGTCATCATCTACTGCCGAAGCTCAGCTCAGTACTGGACCAGGACCAGGACACGTCCCGCATGTGTTCCTGTGTTGAGGACGCACCAATGCAGACTGAGCAGCTCTAGAAGTCCCAGAGGTCCTGGTGGCTGGAGGTCGCCAGGGTTATTATTCAAGTTCAGGGAGAACGGACTGACCTCAGCAGTTTCCTGAATGAGACGGTGAGGGTGAACATCAGCATGGACATCTCCATAACGCAGGAGCTCATGAGGCGCGTTCACTTGCTGAATCTCCTCGTCAGTCTGAGCTGATATAGTGCAGAGATCTCTGAGGTGTTCATGAACACTACACTGTGAGGAGGGGAACAGGAACGGCTGTACGACTGCTGTCATGACACTCCATTAAACACGTGAAGGTCAGTGTGTGTGTGTGTGTGTGTGTCAGAGAGCGACAGACACAGATCTCCATCAGCCCAGTTTATTAATATCAGCACTAACAGAGAAACACAGATCAGGAAAACTCATCTAACACTGAGGAGCGCGAGCGCAAACACACACCTGCAGGAGGACCAGGAGCAAAGGAGAAGACGAGGAGATCAGCAGAGGAGGGTCAGTAAGTGTGTGTGTGTGTGTGTGTGTGTGTGTGTGTGTGTGTGTTCAGGGGGTGGGTCAGTCAGTCAGGGGGTGTGTTCAGGGTTTCCATCATCATCACTGTTCAAACTGGTGAATCGGCTTCAGCGGGGTCAGAGGTTAAGGGGCGGGGTCAGGGGTCACTGCTCCTCCTTCTGCAGCTCCTCATACTGCGCCTCCTCTTTATCTCCGTCTTCATCAGCGCGAGCGTTCGGCACCCACAGACCAGAGTCAATGCAGCGCTTCATGTGGAGCTTAGCCTCCTGCACGCACACACACACACACACACACACAGATATCATCTCACACACACAAACACACGCAATCATCATCACACTCTCTCTCTCTCACTCTCACTCACACACACACACACTCACACACACACGCACGCACGCAATCATCATCACACTCTCTCACTCACTCACACACACACACAGTTATCATCTCACACACACAAACACACGCAATCATCATCACACTCACTCTCTCTCACTCTCACTCACACACACACACACTCACACACACGCACGCACGCAATCATCATCACACTCTCTCACTCACTCACACACACACACACACACTCACACACTCACACACGCACGCACGCAATCATCATCACACTCTCTCACTCACTCACACACACACACAGTTATCATCTCACACACACAAACACACGCAATCATCATCACACTCACTCACTCACTCAC